GGGGTCAGATCGGGCACAATTCCCAAACTGTGTCACCACTGTTGTCCCCCTTGGGCTATCGGTCAGTGAGGGATGTCCTGTTTCATAGTGGGGCCGGCCATATGGTCCTCTCTGCATTGGCTGCTCAGAGCAGGGATATCGTCCTCAAGGCTTGGTGGGCCAGGATGTGCTCCAATCTCTCTTCCTACCCCTTCATTTGCTCCTGGCATGCATCTCTTAGCGCAAGTCCATTTGAACACCTAACTGCTTTACTTTGATCTAAACCAAAATACCCCTACTCCACTAATAGTCATGGCAATATCCTAGACTAACAGCCACAACAGGTCCATTTCTGAAATTTTACAACTCATATCCCATGCTCTGATCATAACATCCTACTGCTCTTAAGTCTTCCATGACTACACTCATTGCACCCACTGAACCTGCCAATCCTTTTAACCAGGGCTTCTCAACCTAGGCACATTTACATTTTGAATAATTTGCTGTTATGGGTGACTGCCCTGTGTGTTGTAGGAAGTTTAGCAGCATTCTTGGCTCCGTCCATTAGATGATGGTGGTATTTCCCTCCTGTTACCAGGTAACAGCCACAAACACTTCCAGACGTTGCTAAGTGTCCCCTGGATAACATAATCACCCTGGTTAAGAACCACTACTTTAACCTCATCCCCTTTGTCTACATGAGCCACACTGTCTGAGCTCCATACTTTTCCTTTACTTCAGTCTCCTGACGGCACTGGCAGCAGGCTTCCTTCCCCTCCTACCACCCAGGATTCCTGCTACACCCACTCTACAAACCTCGAAAGGGCTGCTGAGCAATCAGAGACCACACGCCCTAGGAGGCTGGAGGCTTATGGAGGTTTACTGGCCTACTCTGAATCCTTTCACTCCTTTTCCACTCCCATTCCCCAAGGCAGTGCTTCCTCCTCAGACCGCTTATCCCATTACCTCAACATCAACTCCTACAGCTGTAAATTACTCACATGGTACTTTTTCACACCTTGTTTTCTCAGAATCTGAAGAAAAGTCCTTTGAGTCCCTAAGCCTTTATATGGATCCCATCATCTCCACATACAGGCCTTCATGAACCATCTTCCAAAATAGGTCCTCCTTGTGGTTCATTCTCATATAACAACACCCTGTTTACTTCTTAACACGACTCCTGGGTTGAAATCACTGTGTTTACTAGTTAATTTGTCTGCCTTTCCTAGATCAGGATTTTCTCTAACATGTTCCCTCTTGTACATTCTGTACTCATTAATCTCTGTTCAATCAGCTAGTGAATCCCATTTTCTGTCTTAAGAAACAGAGACCAAAATGTATTGCCCTTTGACTCTTCTGTTTTCAACTTATTCTAAATAACTTGACTCTCCCTTCTGCATATAAGTACACCCAGCAACTACCTTTCATCCTATGAAACTATCTTTCATCCTGCCTTCCTTCTCGTCAGTCACATTTCTTTAAAGAATCATGTACAATCATTAATAAACTGCCATGCTTCAATTGACTCCAATTCAATTGACTTCCATACCAACCGATTCACAAAAAGTGCTCTCTACAAATTCACTATAGGCTAGCTTGTTACTAAAACCAGTGGATGGGTTTCAGCCCTATCCTAATTCACCTACAAACAGTATTTTATACTGTTGGATATGAGAACACCGTTTCCTTTTCTGGGATATATATATATATTTGGTATTCCCTCGGGAATTTCTTGCTCTGCTCCCCTTCTGTTCTGTTGCCTGCCATCAGTGTTTTGCCTTGTTGTGGGGGGGTCAGATCGGGCACAATTCCCAAACTGTGTCGCCAGGGGATATATATATATCCCCCCCCTTTACGACAATCTCAAAATACTCACTGCCATCAAGTTAATTTTGACTCATAGCAACCCTACAGGGCAGGGTAGAACTGCCCCTCAGGATTTTGGAGACTACAACTCTTTGCAGGAGTAGAGCGCCTCATTTTTCTCCTATGGAACAGCTGGTGGTTTCAAACTGCTGACCTTGCAGTTAGCAGCCCAACAAGTCACCACTATTCCAGGGCCATTATAAGGGCTCCTTTACCAGAGATAGGCATTTTCCTATCTCTTACATGTTGGAAATTCTCCAAGTCTCCACCGTGGGTCTACCTCTGTTGTGATCTACTCTCCCTGAGTAACTTCTAGATACTGATGGCTCCAAATACCCACCTCAAGCTCATATTAGTCCTGAGCTCCCAACCTTCACAACTACCAACTCCCTGGATCTCTCTTTGTGGATGACTCACCAATCTTTCACCAAAATCAAACTCATATGGTGCCAAAGTTTGCCTTATAGCTCAAACGCTCTACCATCATTCTATCCTCAGTACTTTGAAGCCCTTATCATTGCTTGCTTGGATTCCTGATACAGTCTAAGGTCAGTAAGCATCTGGATCAGCCAAATAACTCTACTTCCCCTAGTTGCCACCTTTAGTTATTTGGCTTCCCACATGGTTTTCCTATGGGGAAAGAAGACAGTGGTCATACCAATTCAAACATTTTATACGGAGCTCACTTTGTAAAGGAATATATTTTGTTTTTACCTCACTCACATGGGGCTTAGCTAATTATCACCTTCTTGTGAGAGATGAAATCACTGTGGGTAAGTATCATGGATTGAACTGTGTCCCCTGCCAAAGTGCATATGTGTCAACTTGGCTGAGCCACAATACTCAGTGATTTAGCAGTTAGGCACTGATGCGATTGGCTGTTATGCAACCATGTAGCATCTCTCATACTGTGATCTTAGGTGATCAGCCACGACTTGTAAAGGGATTAGGGTAGGATGCAATACTCTTACTCAGACCACAGCCTTGATCCAATGTATGAGGAATTTCACTGGGTTGTGACCAGGATCACTTTAATCTTACAAGGGATTAAGAGAGGAAAGTGAGCAGAGGGGGAGGGACCACCATTAACACCAAGAAAGAGCTGGGAGTGGAATGCATCCTTTGGAGCCGAGGCTCTGGCACTCAAAACCTCCCAGACCCAGGGAAAGACTAACGACAAGACATAGGGAGCTCTCCAAGAGCACCGGCCTCGCAGATGTTGAAAGTAGACAAGGAATTTCCTCCAGAGTTGACAAGAGAAAAACTTCCCCTAGAACCAGAGCCCTAAGTCCACACTTTTTGTTTTAGCAGAACCAAATAAGATAATAAGCTAACAAAATCTGATCTATGAGAATAGATCAGATTCCCTATCATTAGATTTAATCATTCTCGAAGAGAAATATGTATCACCTTGTAAGACCTTTTGGTTAAGCAATCAGCTTCTCCTAGCAATACCACTTCATTGTGTCTCCCCCACCCTAATATTGTTATCTTGATGAGACTTGTAAAAATATGATCCCATGATCTTGGTTAACTCCTCTAGTAACAACTCTAGTTAGCCAAGTGTGCTGTCCAGAAATGGCTTCATGTATGGTCCAAAAAAACAGAAATCAACAACACTTCTCTTTACAAGCTCAAGTCCTTTGCACATATGACAGTGCTGTTACATTACATGTCCTGATTCAGAACCCAAAACACATGATTTCACGTTCATTCTAATTAAAGATTGCCAATCCTAGCTAGCTGAAATACTTATGCTTCCAACCAAAGTGCTATCCTCCCAGCTTCTTGGTATACCCTTTCCCCCAGACAGTAGCCATTTACGTACCTGATTATAAATTGTTTGGTGCAATTTCAGTCCTCTTTCATGAAGCTGTAACTAGATAATAAAGATATCATTTATGAATTGGGGGGAAAATATCATTATTTCCAATGACTCATCACAATCTCATGTATTTCCCTCGTTACAGCAGACTAACATAATTCCCTTTAGTCAAAAGTCAGTGATATATAAATAATACGCCTAGTCAAAGGCTTTTCAGTGGAAAGGGTCAGTCCTTCAATAAATCTAACCCATGTTACAAGGGAGAACAAATAGATATATATAAAATAATGTTAAGAAGGCCAAAGAAGAAATGGCTAACACCATCTCCCCCAAAAGCAGCCCCACCATGCCCCCATGATAACTTTCACCTGTATTTCTGAAACATGGAATGAATAATATGTACCAATCATAATGCAATACCAAATCACTCCCTCCCTACTAGAGGGTTTCACTTGGAATTATATCATAATCGGTATAGGTCATGCATTTCTTGTTAAAGAAATATAAGTGAGAGCTACCAGAGAATCACTAAAAAAAGCACAACTGTCAATAGAAATTTGTGCCTTGAGTCCTGTGACCCCAACATCATCATCTTCCTCAAAGTGTGCAGGTATATGCAGGGGGGTGTTCAAAATGCACCAAGGCGATACTAGCCTCAAATTTAAAAGACAAATGAAAACAAAACAAAAAACGTGTCCCCACTTGGTTTCTCTGGTTGTTCTTACCATGGCTTTTATCGCTGCTGTCCTGACACGAGGGTCCTGGTCACTGAAGTAATCCCCTATAATCTTCTGGACATCTCTGACAGCTAAGCCTTCCGCATCTTTTGTGACACTTTTCTCCAAAGAGCCAAGATTGCCGAGTAATTGCAGGCACTTATTTCTAACACCATGGGAGGTATCTGTCAGGTGCTATCAAAAGGGGAACAAACAAGCATGATTAAGCAACAGAGATAAAAGGTAGATTAGACCCAATAAGAATTTAACAATTTTGGGGGGGCGGGAGGGGGAAAATGAGCAAATGATATTGAGGGCTAAAGTAGAGGGCAAATGTTTTGAGATTGATGAGGGCAACAGGTGTACATATGTGCTTGACTCAATGGATGTATGTATGGACTGATAAGAATTATACGAGCCCTCAATAAAAGAATTTAAAAAAAAAGAATTTAACAATTTTGTGCATTAAAGACAGTATCAGGAATGTGAAAAGATAAAACACATAATCGGAGAACTATTTACCAATCATGTATCTAAGTTGGATTTAATATCTAGATTATAATGAACTCTTAAAACTCAAGAAAAAGACAAGAGGCCCCAATAAAATGACTTAAAAAAAAAAAAAAAAGACAACCCACTTTTTAAAATGGGCAAAGAATTTGAGTAGACATTTCTCCAAGAAGCACATGAAAAGGTGTTCAACTTCACTGGTCAATATAGAAAAACAAATTAAAACTACAATGAGGTATCACTTCATTTCCACCACGAGTTGCCCTCAAGTTGGTTTAAATTATGGTGAGCCATTGTGTGGGAGTACAAGTGTGTCCTTGGGATTTTCAATGGCTGGTTTCTTAGAAGTAAATCGTGAGGCATTTCTTCAGAGGGGATTCTGGGTAGACTTGACCCTCCAATCTTTTGGTGAGCAGCTAAAAGTATTAACTGTTTGCATCAACCCTCAGAATGGCCTTAATTTAAAAAGAAAAGAGAGTTTTAAAAGACTTGGAAAGGTAAGAACCCTTGTGCACTGCTGATGGGAATGCAAAGTGGTATGGCCAATATGGAAAACTGTTGCACGCTACAACTTGAGAAACCTTAAAAACATGCGGACACAGAAGGTCACATATTGCATGATCCCCTATCTTATTTCAGAGGCTCAGGAACTTCGTAGAATGAACACAGACTGGAATCAGACTTAGGTTTGATTGCTGACCCTGCCTGCTACATAGCATCTATGTTATTTTTGGTAAGCCCCATACAAAAAAAATGAGCAAAACGAGTTGCCATCAAAACCTGTGCTCAGAACCACAGCCTTTCGAGCCTATGCCCTCCTGGAAGGAGATGGCGAGGCCTTCCTTTGTTCCAAAGCACCTCTGGATAGGTTCAAACAGTCAACATTTTGGTTAGTAGTCAAATGCTTAACCTTTCGTGCCCAGGGACCTCTACCTAAACCCTTACATTTTTAGAAAGCTTTAATTTGTAGAAAGAAGACAACTATCCCTTAGCACACAGTATTAATACCACATGGATTAAATGACTTAATTATAAAATTACTGTATGTAAAATCAGCTAATAAAGTTTGAGAAACAACAGACATTCTATAACAATATACCTATGTCAGTGCCTGGCACGTCTCTGTGCTAAAACTTAAGCTACTTTAGAATAAAAATGTAATCGTTGGGGAAGAGTAGAGCAAGTTCCAAGAGTAAGTTATTATATATATATATATATATGGATATATGTCCCAATAAAATAAACATTTTTAAATGGATCAATCAAGCATTTTAACTCAGAGTTCATTCTTTGCCTCCTAGTTATTTAAACTATGAAAATGTGAAACATACAATATACAGTGAGGGCTCAAAATAGTAATAACCTATCAAAATAAGGCTATGAAACGGACGTATGAGTCAGACAGGAAACTGTCCAACGACTCTGCTTGTCATAGTTAATAAAGCAGGCTTTCTTTTAATGAACTACTTATACTGAGCATAGAAACATCATTTCTCATTAACTGAACTACTGACTGAACCACTAGCCCCTGGAAGTTTGCAAGCACTGCTACAAATACTTAACTGATTTTCAAAGAAGCTAAAAGCTTCCAGCTACTATTAGGGTAACCAGGCAACAATGACGCATAACTGACCTATTACCACACACTGACTCTTAGCCCACAAGAGAGGGTACATTTAGTGCTCTGGGCAGTAATTCTCATTTTATGAAGTCCTTCACCTACAGGTCATGTCTTGCATCACGGCCATCATCATTAACAGCTGCCAAGCATCTCCTCTGCAGAGTCTCCGATTTTCAGTTACATACCTTATTATGTCATTAAAGTCCCAGCATTTTTATATTAATGGAATGAATAAGCAAGCTACACCCCAATTATTTATTACCAGAAGTAAAATTAAATCCCAAAATAAAATTAACCAACCCATTAAAAATTACTGCTAGAAAGGGAAAAAAATCAAGTTAAGTATATTTTTTAAAAGCTGAGACTAAAGTTAAATAAGGCAAAAATAACTTACTGATTTATTCTGTTCCAGTATGGATTGTTTTGAAGTACAGATTAAAAATTCTGCGTACTTTGTATGTAAATAACTCTAACAAACCACTCATATGATCAATCTAGGCAGTATTTTATGCATATAAAAAAGCTCTATGGTCTATCCATTGCCTTCAAGAGCTAACTGTACTTTTGCCCTGGGATTCAACAGAAAAGGATGTGATGGGAAAAAAAAGAAAAAGATGTGATGGAACAATAGAATGGCATGATCTCTGGATTAACTCCAAATAAAATGGTTTGGGGGAAAAAAGAACAGAACAGGGATGACTGGCATCACAAATGATTTGAGATCAAGCATTGTAACATCAAGTAAGAGGAACAAACCTCCTACATCCTTAAATCTGAGTAACAGCAGTTGAAAATTCACTGTCTGCATTCCCTCCATTTCTGAAGCACTTCTCATTCCTGTCCCTCACTAAGAATTTTCCACAATAAGTCAGTTGAGTGTCTAAGGTTTGAAAGAATGGTGTTCTCATTTGCTGAAAATTGTCAGCTTTCCAAGAATTAGAACATGTTAAAATGCAATTGCATTCATTTCCTCAGGCTATTGTAAAAGGCTTACAACAACAGCAATATATTCTCCACCTGGGTTAGAGCAGCGGTTCTCAACCTGTGGGTCTCGACCCCTTTGAGGGTTGAATTACCCTTTCACAGGGGTTGCCTGATTCATAACAGTAGCAAAATGACAGTGATGTAGTAACAACCAAAATGATTTTATGGTTGGGGGCGGGGGGCGGTCACCACAACCTGAGGAACTGTATTAAAGGGTTACAGCATTAGGAAGGTTGAGAACCACCGGTCTAGAAGCTAGATGACTGAACGCCAAGTGTCAACAGGGCCAAGCTCAGTGGACAGCCAAGGGAAGAGCCTTTCTTGCTTCTAGTGTCCCCCGGTTGCTGGCCCTCTGTGGCATTCCTTGGTTTTCAACTCCATTTCTGACTACTTAGTCATATGGCCTTCTTCTCTGTGTCTTTATACCTCTCCTTGTGTAAAGGTGTTACTCATGCAGAGAATGGTTTGAAAATGATGATGGTGGCATATGTGCAAATGTGCTTGACACACAGGATGAATGCATGGATTGTGATAAGAGATGTAACAGCCCCCAATAAAATATTTTAAAAATATATATATATATATATATTTTAAAAAAGAAAAAGGAAGAAGGTCCTATTTTGAGCTTCCAATAGGCATGATTTTGGGGGGACAACATTCAACTTAGCAGCAATTAACACTAAAATTCTACCAAAGTGAACTCAGCACAATGAACAAGAAAAAAATCTCACAAACATTCCAGACTAGGACAAACTAATCTATGGTAAAAATTGGAAAAGGGATTACCAGGATGAGTGAGAGGGTATTTTAGGCAAGAGGGTAAAGAAGAAACTTTCTGAGCGTGTGTAAATGTTCTATTAACATGATATGGGTATGGCTAATACAACTGTGTGCATCTGTCAGAACTCACTAAATATTTGTACATTTCACTGTACACAAATTTTACATATAAACAAATTGCATGAATAATCATAAGTATATATTTTAAAGGAGTGTTCAGAACCTGTCAACAAAAGAAAAAGGGCATGTGCATGTGTACACAAAACGTACAGTCTGTGTGAGTTGATGTATTTGCAGAACTACATAAGAAACCTAACAGTCATCAAAGGTGCAGTAAGAGGTCTTCTCCCCATCCAAAGCAAAGAAGACTGAAGGAAAAATCAAAGACACACAGAAACAATTAGTCCTAAGAACCAATGGACCACACAAACCTTAGCCTAGACAACTGAGACCCAAAGAATTATATGCTGCGTGGCTACCAAAACCAATAGCTCTGAAAGGGAGCTTTTTAGAAGGCCCTGGATACAGTGGCAGAAAAGTGTGGAACAAAGACTGAAGGTCAGAGAGAGAGTGGTGGAATCTTTGAGACTATGACCTTTAATCACACTTCAGGTCTGGAACTGAACTCACTCCCACAGCTCAACTATCAATCAGGCAAATAACAGACAAGCCTATCAGGTGAAGAAGCACACCAAGGAGGTATACACTCTTTAGAACAATCAACCCTTTATGATCAAAGGGACAGCATTTATTTAAGGACAAAGTTCAGAACCCCAAAACAAACAGGCAAATGCACTCACTGTCATCACGTTGATTCCGACACACAGCCACCCTGGAGGACAAGGTAGAAATGCCCATGTGGGTTTCTGAGACTGACTCTTCACCAGAGCGGAAAGCCGTCTCTCTCCAGTGGAACAACTGGGGTTTCAAAGGGACCCTGCAGTTAGCAGTCCAACTCATAGCCCGTATGCCACCAGGGCTCCCACACAGTTCAGAAGGCAGGAAGGAAGGGATAGGAAAGGAGCAATGGAAAAGGAACGCAAGGAGAAGTGACATCATATTGAGAGGATGGCAAAAGATGGCACAAAACGAAACGTGTATGAATTATTGAATGGAAAATTGCTTTGCTCGGTAAACTTTTATCCAAATCACAATTCAAAGTTTTTTGGTTGTTTTTTTTAAGAAAAGAAACTTAACGGTGGTTGCTTCTAAGAAAACTGGAACACTGTTGGAAAAGAGATATACTTGATATGGCTTAAATGTCGTTCCTACTATGTAAATCCATTACATTTAAAAGCAA